AGAAGGGAAAGGCGTCTTTTTCTCAAGTTGCAATTTAATTCAAGCCTTAGTAAGACCCAGTGGTGGGATTCAAATAATTTGACAACTGGTTCTCTGCCTTAATGACCGTCTGGGTAGGCGGGGCTCGGTGGTCATGTGACAATGCTGGCTGAGGAATTCTGGGAGTTGAAGTCCACAAGTCTTAAAGTTGCCAAGGTTGAGAAACACTGCTCTAGAGGACCGAGATGGCGAAATGTGCCACGCAGAGCCATATTTGATGTCCGGTCAGCCCATCTTTCATCCTTCTCAGGCTCTGGAGGCTTTCTTGTTGTAGTAAACTGTTTAACAGAAGTGAGGACTCCGCAAGATAACCGTGAAACAAGTAAGTTTTATTTTAAACAGCAAGCTAACAAGAGAACAAGTAATTCAGCCCCCCCCCCCCCCCCAAAGGCTCTGCTTGAACAGCTATTTATACAGGAGGTGTCAAGCAGAGCAACCACAAGGGAAGCTTCAAAAGTCCCGCTTTAAGCCAGGCGCCCATAGCCAATCCATTTGTTCCCGGCTGCCTGGTCGTACGTCGAGGACTTTCCAACCGGTCATAAGCCAAGGACTTTACACCTGGAGCCTGGGGAGGGGGGGAAACAGCCTCCTCGGGACCTCCAGTAGCCACAAACAGATTGTTTCCAAACTTCCAGTTGGCCTGTTGGGTCCGTTTTTCACCCTCCCCAGGCTCCGGGGGCTTTCCAGAAGCCTAGGGAAAGCGAAAACTCCCCTTCCCACCCACCCACACACACAGGGGGTTGTGCACCCATGCACAGGCGGGCGGGGAGCATTGCATTGTGGGTGTGGGGCATGCGGGCGGGCGCTATCCCATGCACAATTTTGGCACACGTTTACAAAAAGGTTTGCCGTCACTGGTACAGGATTTGGGATTGATTCGCTCATGTACGTTTAGTGGTCTCTCTAATCCACTTGACGTACCTGGAGACCCGGGTGTAGATCCCATATTTATCCTTCTTGGCACACTGCTCCCCCCAGCTGGTGATCCCTGTCAGGAACCAGACGTGTTCAATGTCCGTGGTGTAGGGACCCCCGCTGTCCCCCTGGCAGGTGTCCTTGGCTTCGCTGGGGTGGCCCGCGCAGAACATATTGGGCAAGATGGGGTAACTGCTGCTCCTGAGACAAGTCGGTCGGTCAATGAAGCGGATTCTCAGCACCTGAAGGATGCTGGCCTGCCGGCCTTGGTAAGCCAGTTTCCCCCATCCGCTCACCGTTCCCGCCCCGAACTTAAGGAGGCTGTTGGTGAACTCTTTGTCCCCCAGGCAAATGGGGATGACGTAGTGGTTGAACTCCAGAGGGGCATCCAACTCAAGGAGGGCAATGTCATTGTGGTACTTGTTGGTGGTGTTGTAGGTAGGGTGAGGGATGGCTCTCACCACGTTGCGGTATTGTTCGGTGTTGTCCACAGTGTAGATATTGTGTTCACCTGGAGAGGGAAGGAGGAGGAAGAGGAAGGAAGGAGGGAGGGAGAAAGGAAGGAGAGGAGGAGGAAGTGAAGAAGAAGAGGAGGAGAAGGAGGAAGAGGAAGAGGAAGAAAAGAAGGAAGAGGTGGAGGAAGAAGAAGAAGAAAAGAGGAGAAGGAGGAAGAGGAAGAAGAAGAGGAAGAAAAGGAAGAAAAGGAGGAAGAAAAGGAGGAAGAAGAGGAGAAGGAGGAAGAAAAGGAGGAAGAAGAAGAGGAGGAGGAGGAAGAAAAGGAGGAGAAAGAAGAAAATGGAGGAGGAGGAGGAGGAAGAGAAAGAAAAGGAGGAAGAAGAAAATGAGGAAGAGGAAAAGAAGAAGAGGAGGAAGAGGAGGAGGAAATAGAAGAAGAAAAAAGAAAGGAGGAGTAGGAAGAAGAGGAAGAAGAAGAGGAGGAGGAGGAGGGGGAAGAGAGAAGAAGAGGAGGAGGAGGAGGAGGAGAAATAAAGGAGGAGGAGGAAGAGGAAGAGGAAGAAAAGAAGAAGAAAAAGAAGAAGAAGAAGAAGAAGAAGAAGAAGAAGAAGAAGAAGAAGAAGAAGAAGAAGAAGAAGAAGAAATATATAATATAATTAAAGCAGCTAAGGCAAATCTCTTAACATGCTAGATGCTAAAAGCTAAATAATATGATCAGGAACTCGAGGGGAATTCTGTATTCTTACCCAAAATGCATGAAAGAAAGGGGGGGGGAGTGTTTTTTCTCACGTTTGTTGATCTTTAACTACGCTTGCCGTTTCTGCCTGTTTCTCCCTCCACCGCAGCCTCTCGGATCTGGTCCTAAGCCAAGTCACTGCAACACTATATATTTCACTTGAGCCCTCTCTCCAGGAGAAGGGCAGTCGGTGTGTTTACCTGCTACAATCCTTTTGGGCTGGAACTCCAGGCAATGAGCTGCTGTCACGATCCACATTTCGTTGATGATGGTGCCTCCACAGAAGCCTTTCCCTTCAGAATTGAGCAAATAAACCTGGGGACGGGGGTTACAAAAAAAACAAACCCATATCAAGTCAACTACTGTTGGTTAAGAAGAGAGCAACCCAGGGGTTGAAAGGGAAAGCCAACATCTTGGTGATGAAATTGAGATGACGTCGTGCCTGTGGGCTTCCAGAAAGCTTCTGGTGGGACATGATGGGGGATAGACAGGATCCCAAACTATACTTATAGCAATAGCAATAGCAGTTAGACTTATATACCGCTTCATAGGGCTTTCAGCCCTCTCTAAGCGGTTTACAGAGA